CCTCTCCCCCTCTCTCTCTCCTCCTCTCTCTCTCTCTCCTCTCTCTCTCTCCTCTCTCTCTCTCCTCTCTCTCTTCTCTCTCTCTTCTCCTCTCTCTCTTCTCTTCTCCTCTCTCTCTTTCTCTCTCTCTCTCTTTCTCTCTCTTCTCCTCTCTCTCTCTTCTCCTCTCTCTCTCTTCTCCTCTCTCTCTCTCTTCTCCTCTCTCTCTCTTCTCCTTCTCACATACACATAAACACTCATAGCGCTCTCTCTCTTCTCTCTCTCTTTCTCAGCTCAGACGCACACCTGACCCTGACAAAGTGTTTTCCATGTAATGAGACCTAATATAGCGCATGTCTCTACATGCAGATGAAATAAGTTCATGTTGTAGTTGTTGTAACATACATCTGTGTGAGCGGCCCCATTCTTTGTACATTTGATTTCGTGTCTTTGCTCTGATGAAGAAATTGTCTCATCTTGCGGTAACGATGTGCCCTCACGTAAGTCGAGCCGCGTCTTGTACTTCATTGTTATTGGCCTGTAATTCTCTGTCTGGATGGGTGAGGTAACGTCTGCTGAAACACAAGGTCATCTGCCTGACCTGTGACCATCAAACCAGCCGATTTCCTCCTCAACCAGCCTTATGTGGTGTCATGGAGAATGGTGTCCGACAGGCTCCGGGATTTTCATCCTCTTTAAAGGTTAATGAGCGCGGAGGTGAGCGCTCCCAGAATAGTCTGCGGCCGGTCGGAGCTGTAAAGCAAATGTTTGGACAGTATTTTCTCGGGGATAACATCGTGGGCCGTTGGTGGGGATTGTGGTGACCATCCTTGTTAGCTGCCATGTTACATTGTAAGTATAACAACCGCCCTGTGCTGGATAACCGGCGACCCCGACTCATCGCGTCATGCTGCTCGGGGTATTTCCCTCCAGAAAAGGGGACACTCAGATGTTCTTCCTTCAGTCTCTTCAGAGGACCCGTCTCCTTTGTAGCCCATTGGAACGCTCAGTTTTAAAACATTCCGGATGCATCAAAACAAAAGATGTTCATTCTCTTAAAGTTCTTTGTAAAGCAGCCACAGCCTGAGCGAAAAAGCCCGTCTCCTGCCAGCCTCCTGCAGAGAAGGACTCTTGCTGGTCTCCTGCCAGCCTCCTGCAGAGAAGGACTCTTGCTGGTCTCCTGCCAGCCTCCTGCAGAGGAGGGCTCTTGCTGGTCTCCTGCCAGCCTCCTGCAGAGAAGGACTCTTGCTGGTCTCCTGCCAGCCTCCTGCAGATAAGGGCTCTTGCTGGTCTCCTGCCAGCCTCCTGCAGAGAAGGACTCTTGCTGGTCTCCTGCCAGCCTCCTGCAGAGAAGGACTCTTGCTGGTCTCCGTCCAACCTCCTGCAGAGGAGGGCTCTTGCTGGTCTCCGTCCAGCCTCCTGCAGAGGAGGGCTCTTGCTGGTCTCCTGCCAGCCTCCTGCGGAGACGGACTCTTGCTGGTCTCCTGCCAGCCTCCTGCAGAGAAGGACTCTTGCTGGTCTCCTGCCAGCCTCCTGCAGAGAAGGGCCAACGTGCCCCCCGCCGAGTCCGAGCTCTCCTATCAGCATGCTCACTCCAAGCATGAGCTTTGCCGATTGCAAGGTCTGGCTCCGTAGGGGGCGTCGGACCTCTGCATAGAGACCACTGTCTACCCACAGAGAGCAATGGTCCCACTGTGCATCTGCTAGCATGGTACTGGCTTTTCTACTCAAGCTGGGGCTGCTTTAGCGACCAGATGAACTCTAAGACTTGGCACACCTTTCTGTTTTCATGCACCTGGAATGTTTTTAGCTGATTTAAACTTGTTTAAATGTTTTAGCTTCCTGCAGAATCAGCTGATCCCCCGAGCACTGGCCCCCTGATATCCTGTTTTAGGGTGACACCTTTCCCTGGCAGGGTCTTATGGAGCCACCCTTGTGTGTTAGTAAGCTAAGGCAAGCCGCTCCCCTCCCACCTGGTCCCCTCTCCTTCTTTCTCCA